AGTCCCCAGGCAGTCTGGAATATACTGTACACTAATATTGAAATACTCAAACGATACTCAATTTTAAGTTGCGCTTAAATATGTCAAAAAAATCTTTTTCTTTCAAATTCTATTTCCTAATATCGAAAAGGCCGGTAACGCACTTGTTACGCCTCTGGTAAATCAGGTGTCCATGAGTGGCGCCGATGGCTTACCATCAGGTGATCCGTCTGCTCGTTTACCGGCCATAAACACGTGGCACGATAGTGTTGCATTAGCCGCAGTCTTATCATCCGTAAAAGTGTAAACAGCCTAAACATTAAGTTTTCTCGTTAGTCTTTTTTTTTAAGGGGGGAAAATCATCGAATGACTGCTCCCGCCTGGGTGAGGCGGGAGGGAGTGTCAGACTCTTACTGACTAAAAACCACCCCGTTCCTTCTCCTGCACGTCGAGTAGGAGCCCCGGTTACCCGTTAGGTTCTCCGTTAGTCTAGACGTACCTTAACTTTCAGCCCACCACGACCCTTCTACTTGACTTCGAATTCGAAAAATATATAATTTATATTATTATTTCAGAGTTAGAAGCAGACAAAATATCTAACTTCAAACAAGCTCTGGAATGGCTGATCTGTGCCACTGAGCAAGCGCACCCTGAAGCAAGGAGAATGCTGAGGCGGTATGTATTGTATTTATTAGGTACTTGCTTCTACCATGGGTTTGCCCACATTACCGGGATGAAAAAACGTTTATACCTGGTCTTATTCTACCGCTGTTCCGAATCTCACTCTGGCGTAAATGATTAACAGACATACTCTTAAACTATGGCATGTGTATAAATATTTGTATTGTATTACACCTTAACATAACATCTTTTAATTTTTTTTTGTTTTTCTTCTTTGGCAACCGAGTCTCCAAAACAGTGTTGTCGACTATACTGCCAGTGTCGAGTGACGAACCTTTTCATTTCAAGACCCATGCTTTAACATGAATTGACAGGTGACAGTCTTGACCGAAGTGACACTGCGGTCTCACAAAAAAACAATGTAAAACAACGCTTGCGTCGTGTTTCGCTGTTGAGTGAGGGGAGGAAAGTGAAGTCTTCTTCTCCTAAATTCTTCTCTAAATAACGTTGCCCCACACTAGGATTTTCTCCTGTGTCATGGGTGCGTTAACAAACATACAAGTTCACATACACATCACACCCAGACCCGAAACAACAATTTGTGGATCACACAAAGTGTTGTTCCGTGCGGGAATCGAACCCGCGACACGTTGCCGGTTGAGCAGCCGGTTGCCCAGCCACCGCACCAACCGTGCAGTCGTGTCAAATGACAAATCGACCCTGACCTTCTAATCCCTAATTCCCAATATTCAAATCTTAAACCCTCCAGGGTTCGACAACCCACTTGTACCTCCTCTTTTTCACTTGGCCTCCTTGTAAGTTCACTGGTATTGTGGGCGTCCGTGACCTGCACCGATTGCTTACAAAGGATGTTTAAAAAAGGCGGATATAATGTCACTTAGAAATTATTGAAGCACGAAAATGTCAGTGGTTTTTTTATGTGTGCGTGTGTAGTGGGTTACCACGTTACCAGACTTAAGAAAAAGATAGATATACTTCGTGTCAATGTGTTTAGGTTCTGCATGTAAGTCTATAGTAGCCAGTTGCCTCAGTCGTTGTTTCAAGAGATTGTTTCAGCCTTTTTTACAAACGTCTTTGATTGCTTACCATCAGGTGACCAGTTTGCACGTTTGCCACTCTATCCCTTAAAAAAACAACCGTAGCAGCATAATGTAGTTTGTGAATATTTATGTTAGAAAGAAAGAAAAAGAAAGATAGAAAAAACATTTATTCAGCAAACATTCATTACGATAAAGTATCATGCATTCTTAACAGAAAATCACTGCTATTGTCAACCACTCACAACGAAGTATTTACACATACTACAATAGAAACTAAACCTCCTTTCTCAATTAAAATAAAAGCTGCACAATGTCGTAATAATGGCACGTCACAATGACATATATAACAAAACTTGTAAATTGTCTCGGCATCTAAACAATTGTTCCATTATAACAATATTCTGAGAAACGCAATACCATCAGATTCCCGATAATGACATGAGGTAATACTGCAATAGAGTATTGACGCGATTGTCATGAACAATCACATACCACACAAACGTAAACATAAACATTTATTACTCCCTAACTGCATTATGTCCGAGGACGCGACTGGCGACAGATTTTTACGGCTAACAATTTTCTTAAATAATAATATTATATGTAAACGTATATCAATGCATGGAGAGCTCAACGATTTCGCGATTTGGAAGGTCAAATGGGATAGAGTTCGTGATGAATTGCGACGATCTATGTAAGATTTTTGTTGTACAATATTCTACAAGCCTTTGTACTTTGTGTCTTGTAAAATCACTTGTAGGTATGTTAATAAACTATAAGTATAATAAAGTACTGCTCGAAATAACAATTTCCTCTTTCATCTTCTATTCCATTGCTTGTCTACCAAAATTCCTTGTGGTAAGATGTTTTGCACCTTCCTTACTTTTGCACATGAAGAATCATCACAGAATTGTCGTTCAGAAACCACTGTAATTGGTTTTTGACTTTACGTTGTTATGTAGTTAGTTTTTTTTCTTTTTTGGGATTTTGTATTGGAAAATATGGAAGAATTAAATATCATATTTTTTTCTCCAATTGTGTCTAAAGTGCATTCCGGAATCAAAATCATTTGTTCACAACGAGGCTTGAAACTGTGTTTAGCGGACGCCTGTGACGGATACTCGTGTTCAGGTGTGGACTCCCGCAGCGGACAGCGGACAGTGTCGTATCGATGGACAAATAAATATATTATTATAATGTAGCAAAACGACGACGAATAGCAAAACAAAACACCAGGCAGTAAATTTTCTAATTATCTGCACTTTTTCATTATATGTACATATAAAGCTGAAAAATTTGTGTTAGAACGCTCCAATCTCCGTAACTGCTGGTTTGAATTCAATAATTATTTTTTGTGCCGATGAATTTATCGAGGAAGGCTGACTGTGACTGTGACTCCTCTGGTGTTGCGGGTGTCCATGGGCGGCGCTGATCGCTTACCAATACCATGATCGTGATCCATCTGCTCGTTTGCCTCCTATTCCATAAAAAAGGGAACCGATGAACGGTAGAAATCGCGCTAGAGTAGGTACTAATAATATATGCTCAAACCACGTCTACACTCGCGTTACTTTCTTCTGATTTTTCGCATGATTTGCATCTTTTCTTTATTTGTTGCGTAGCCATACTTTAGAACTCAAAGGATTTAAATATACCAAATCTCGTTGAGCGTCCTCGAATCGCAACTAGTCTGGTATTGCAGGTATCCTATGCTGTTAATGTGCGGCGCTGATCACTTGTTATTAGGTAATTTATCGGCTTGTTTGCCCCCCACCCCATAAAAACGAAACAAAAAGTGCAATAATATTATTTTCGTCGTAACTAATAGAAATATTTTTGTCCTTGTCAGGTGTATTCGGAGTGGTGTGATAGACGAGGACAGCGCAGCTATAGTTCGTGCGAAGTCTTGCCTGGCAGCCAGTCGCCAGGAGACGGTTGCGAGGAAAGCTGCCAGAGACCTCTTCGCCAGGTACAGCTTTTTAATTATCTTGCAGTAAACTACTTAATATCATCATCATCAGCCTATAACTAACCCACAGCTGAGAAAAGGCCTCTCATCTCACGGAGAAGCAATGAGTATATTAATCATCTCACTCAAGGCGGATTGACGATCTTTTAGTAGCCCGAGGTGCACATTACGGCACTTAATACCACTGTACTGTAATGAAACATCCACTGTTCACTATTTATATTATGAGTGCCATATAATAGGGGTGAGCCTATTGCTATGTACCGGGCACAATTCTAGACGCCGTGCTACTTATGAGATTTTTTTTAAAACCAGTTGTAATTTGCCCGATTCGGAAATCGAACCGAGACCCCTTGCCCGGCAGTCGCAGTTGCAACCACTCGGTTATGTTATTTGTTGCACATGCAACTGATTATGAGCTCCCGTTTGGCTTGAAACTAGTTGAGCGTCCTCGAATCGAAAGTAAGTCGTATATATTATTTGAATTCAATGCCTCATGATAAATATTATTCAAAATAACTGTTTTCTGTTTGTCAGCCTGTCGAACGGCGAGCAATACATAACTACGGCTCAATTGGAGCGCCGTATACGCGAGATATGTAACACTACGCTCCGGAAGGAACCAGAAGATAGTGATTCGCCCGATGATGACACACCAGGTATTGTAATTTGTTTAACTTTAATATGTATATGACATTGTTCAGAGGTGGGCTCGTGGCCGTTTCCACCAACTGTACAGAGGTGGGTTAGTGGTCGTTTTCACCAACTGTACAGAGGTGGGCTACTGGTCGTTTTCACCAACTGTACAGAGGTGGGCTACTGGTCGTTTTCACCAACTGTACAGAGGTGGGCTACTGGTCGTTTTCACCAACTGTACAGAGGTGGGCTACTGGTCGTTTTCACCAACTGTACAGAGGTGGGCTACTGGTCGTTTTCACCAACTGTACAGAGGTGGGCTACTGGTCGTTTTCACCAACTGTACAGAGGTGGGCTACTGGTCGTTTTCACCAACTGTACTGAGGTGGGCTAGTGGTTGTTTTCACCAACTATACAGAGGTGGGCTAGTGGCCGTTTCCACCAACCTACCCTCAACCTTAACTAAAAGTTCCGTTCGCTCGTTTACCGACTTATTCCATAAAAAATGAATCGTATTTTTCCAGAAGAAGCGCGGGCTTTGGATGACGGGCAAGCCTTGCAGCCGTCGAACTTGCAGGCAGGCGACCAAATACACAGCAATGGAACTATGCGAACCGCTGACCCGCCCGAACAAGGTAAATAAAGGCACTTTTAATAGAGTCTATAGTCAATATCTCTTTACCTGAAAAATTGTTAAAAAGTTACATTTGACAACAAACAAACGGAGCCACTAGTCGATTTTTTTTTATTTTTCTTACTTGGTAATGTTAGTCATATAGAAATCAAATGGGTACTTTCCTTAATCAAAAATAAATTATTTCACCTAATCAATACAATAAAATATGAAAAATAGTCACACTTTCATAATTGATTTAATGACCGACTTAATTTTATGATTTTTCTAGTACATTTTTAAGAAATAAGTATACTGTTTGACGCTAAAAACCGTGACGTCACAATAGACAATCTCGTACAAAATTCATAGAAAACTGTCGTCTTTAACAGTTCGAAGAAAGTATTGAATTTGACTAGTTAGCACACGGAATATAGAATACAATGGAAGTAGCTTGAAACAATATTTCTGCCAGAACCGGTGTCGCCAAACTAATACATTCATAATTTACTCATACTATAAATCGGAAATTACGATTGGTTAGAAAAAAAATGGGCGTAAACGAAATGCAAAAAAAATATCATACGATATGCAACTTTAAAACCAATGCACTATAAATCAAAATAAAAAAGTATATTTTGGACTACCAAGTACCGCCATTCGTCGCTAGATGGCGTTTAACAATGCCATCTAGCGACGAAAAGTGGTACTTGGTTTGAACTTTAACGTTGTAAGAATAAAGGTGATATTTGAATGGCTTATCACTGGCTCGAATGCGGGTCTCTACTCAGATAGTGATGTAGGATAATTCGATAAAAATAATATCGATAATATGAAAATGTGTTTTAAAAATAATATGAAAAAAAATATTGACTGCTATAGTGTGACAGTATTAAAATAATAAAATTAATATGTCGTTGATAACTTTTTAAACGTAACAAAAAAGGGTAAGTATTTATTTACATGTAAATCAAAAACCATTTTGTTCGTATTTTTTATTAGTTTCTTTTTTCAAAAAATCATTTTTTTTTATTTCACATAGGCAATATAAGTAACAACTATTACATATTTTTTTACAAACTTTAAATGGATAATGTGATAAATGAGAGGGATGGCGATAATGAAGACGGTGCTGATCTGCTCCGTGAAGTGAAGGTTGCTTCCAATCACGTCGGGGTCACCACTAAAATAATAATAAAAAAATAATCTAAATACATAAATGTTACATTACACTTGCATCGATATCAATCGATAAATTGAATATGTGATTTGACTACATCACTATTTGAGTAGCGTAGAACTGGCGAGAATGTTCTTTTGAATGGAATAAATCCAAAATAACCTTTATCTTGAAGCCGTAAGGTTGATTTTGACTAACCGTTTTAGTAAATAATATTATTTTAATAACTGTTTTTGTAAATTGAAATAAAATAAGATTTCTACAAGAAAACAATAAAAATTGTACTTACCAATGATACGGAACACCTCCATTTTTACGATTTTTCGGCTGTTATCATTTTTACACGCCGAAACGGAACAAAACTGCATAGTTGAGGAAATATGTATTTGTCACGAGACTAGCAACTCGACGCCATGTTCGAACGAGACTGAACTCGAATTTGCCTCGAATAAGCAGTACACAGCTTAGTTGTGGCACGCGTGCCACGCCTACTTGCTACTTCCATTGTGTTCTATATTCCGTGAGTTAGCAAGTACCCAATTTAGTTACCTTTATAATGAGAGCATATATATATTTTTTAATTTATACAAGGTGTAGTTTTGAAACCGTGGCATTTCTCGGGGCCATGTCACAGAAGTCATAAAGGTTCAATGTAAGACAAAGTTTCGGCCCAATAGTTAAAAATATGGCTATAATAAATCGTTTAAATTCGACAGTATTTCAGAATAAGCGACAGGGATGGATCTTATTAGAGGTATATGGAATTAGGAATAATATCAACTACGTGTTTGAGTTTGTGTGTGTTAAGCCGCGTTATAAAACTAGGTACAAGACGACGACGTGCAGTTCGCACTTACGGATTTCCGTAATTGACAGAAAAATGAAAAATATTTACGTACAATTTTTTTATTGATTCGCACTCGGTATCGATAGCTGAGTTACCTCCTAGAAAATGACGTGGCTTTAAAACAACACCTTGTATATGGTTCAATAAAATGAAAAAAAAAAGCAAAACGCAAGTGGCTCCGTTGCTTTGCTCCCAAGTGTAGTTTGACATTTGGAAAAGTATTTAATTTAACTCGTCGAGTACTGTCATTATAGACACAATTATAGAACAATAGGTTGCGGTCACCGGTGACCGCTTGGTGTTTTGACAGTTTAACAAGTTGGAAACTTCGTTCACGTCAAAATGGCTGAAGGGATCGGGATGAAATCTGTAACTAGGATAAATTATGGTCTGGATAAAAACATAGGGTAGAAGCTTGTCTATACTAATATTATAGAGAGGAAATTTTAGATTGTTTGTTTGAATGGAATCTCCTCCGAAACTACAGAGCCGAGTTGAAAAATTATTTTATCGTTGGAATCCTGTAGGATTCCATATAGCCTATGTTCAGCATCGATAATGTATTATCGATGCTGAACATAGGCTATATTTAATAAAACAGAAAAAAGAGAATTATTTGAAAATTTAGATCATGTAACCCGATGTGTGAAATTACTACCAAAAAACTCCTTATATTGCTTAAGCCTTTGACTGCCAATAGAAAACTGTTTTCAAGGACTAATAATAGTATTTTGGTGCATCAGAATCAGAGATTTAAAAGAAAAAATACGAATTCAATTAACTGAATATATTTTATTCATGGACTAGCTTCTGCACACGGTTTCGCTCGCGCTCTTTTAAGATTTAAATAAAATAGAATTGATTTGTACATTACATTGTTTATAAATTATACTCATCGTTTATTTCAGAGTACCCAGAAAGATGTGTGCCCAGTGAAGAGATACGGAACCTAACTGTCGATAACTTAGTATCGGCCGCCGTCGACTACTGCCAAGGAGAACTACCCTTAGTCACCTATGAACTGACTCTAACCGACCCTAGTATTAAGGCTTTAGACCACATACCGATGCTACACCAGGCGTTCTTACACCCCATCGTCTTTTTACAAGTCTTGTATCTCAAGTTACTGTATTATTTCGGAAGCTTTAACTTTAGGCTGTCAAATGTCGAGCTATCTTTGCTCCTCATAGCGTATCTATCCGTCAGCTCGGATAGTCTCTATCATTTAGTTCCACTAGCGATGTACTACGCGAGTTTTGTCGCAATGGTCATCTGTACATTCAAAATGTTACACGCTAAAAGGCAATTCATCGACTTTAGAAAGTGGTCGGGACTGTTCCTCAGGTATAGCGACGGTAATCTGCAACCAGACGAGTCGGAAAATCTGTTCGTTCGAAACAATCTTGGTCCCTTTGTTCAGTTCTTTTCTGCATTATTTATTAATCTATTTTTATATCCCTTTATAGCGACTCAATGGGTACCCTTTTCCGAATTCTGTGTCTTGTCATTTTTCCTAATGTTCCTTACGTTGATATCGTTTGGAACTTCTATTCAAGGCGGCAGTCCGTATCCAGATCTGCTCGCCTTCCTATCATTCGGTATCAATGTATTAGCAAAGTATCCGTACGAAAAAGACACCGTTGTTCACCAAGGCTGGAGGTTTCTCGACTTGCAGGTATCGAATTACCCGTCTTATATATTGGGTAATAGCGTCGAGTTTTGCTTGAACTCTCGGGTGTTTTTTTCTTTGTTGATCCCTGTTATTTTGGTGGGTATGGCTAGAAGGAGTGGTTGGCAGGGTTTCTTTAAGTATGCGTTGCCCCATTGTGTGACGTTGAGTTGGTTGCAGATGTTTATAACCTGTTCTCACGGGTGTACTACGTATGGGTTGATACGTGGCACGCTCGCATTGGTGTGTTCGTTTCTGTTCTTGCCTCTAATGGGTGTAGTGACGGTGACGCTACCAATATTTGCGTTCCTTCAATACATTACGATGTCTCGCGTCCTATACACGGTCTCTGTCGCGGTCGGTTTGGGGCTAAGTCTTGGGTTTACTTGCCTTCTAGCTAAATCTGAAACTACTAAGAAGTTCGTTACTCCTTTCCAGGTGAGTTGATTTCATTTCTTTATTAGTTTTAATGGAATAAGTTAGTAAACGAGCAGACGTATCACCTGATGGTAAGCAATCGGCGCTACCCATGGGCAACTGCAACCAGAGCAACCAGAGGCGTTACAAGTGCGTTACCCGCCTTTTGGGGATTAGGAATTTTAGATTTGTTGGGGTTTGGGGATTGGAGAGACTGGGGAGAGTAATTGGGCCACCGATAACCTCACTCACACGACGAAACACAGTGCAAGCACGTCGGTATTCTGTGAGGCCGTGGTCTCTGGTCGAGTCCGCCCATTCGTGCCGAAGCATGGCTCTCCCACACTTAAATTTATAGTCGATGTTGTTAATTGACGTAAGCGATAATAGGCTTAACAGTGATATTGTTTCAGTCTTCAGTTATGACTAAAATCCTTAAAAAATGTTCCCATAACATGTTATGTAGATACTAATTTTCATATCTTTTTCCACAGCTCATAATTGGCGTCATAACTCTAGTCTACTTAGGCAACCAGTTCGTAATGAACATACAAGATGATGGGTTACCGTCTAGCCTCATAGAATTAATAGGCGACGAGAAATCGAGCATCAAGAACTTACTCAAAAACGAATTTATCACTGACTATGAGGATAACACGTACCATATCAACTGGGACGACTATTACAACCAATGTAACATCCCATCTTGGTCGGATTATAATACGGCAGCCACGCAAATCAAATGCTCTATACTAGATGGTGCCAACGTAAACTGGGAGGGTTATGTCAAAGACGTCCAACTCAAGAACGTTAGAAATCGATGGCGAGATGTCGTCGCCTGGTTGCCTGGCTTCCTGCAAGAATACTTTAGGTGCTACTACGGAGAGGAATATTCGACTTTATGTCAAGGGGAGGAGAGTTTGCAATCGGCTAATGAATGCGAGTTTGTTAGGAGCGTCGCGCGCCAAAGCGGGAAGAGTTGCCATTTAAATAATTTAAATGAGTGAGTTATTTTTTTTATTTTTTATTATTTTTTTACTGTATATCTATTAGTATTGTAACTTTCGTGAGACATACTAAATAATTTACTCGACTAGGTTCAAGCCATGCTAGAGGCTTGAAACTAGTCGAGTTCCTCGTCGAATTACAACGTGAGTAAGCCGAAAACATAATAATTTATGTAAATCTATTAGACTTATCTTTCTTTACTTGGTTGTCTAGTCAAAAAATTGCAGTGGTCCGATGTAGCATTCTACTTTATATTTTTACTTAGTTACTTCCGCGCGGTTTTAGCCGCTCTGCTCGGCTTCTATTAGTCGTAGCGTAATGTTTTCTTTGTAGCCTATAGTCTTCCTCTATAAATGGACTACCCAACACAATAATGATTTTTGAAATCGACCCAGTAGTTCCAGAGATTAGGGCCTTCAAACAAACAAGAAACAAAAGGCGTTCTCTTTTTGATGTTTGTATGTTTGAATGTATGTGCCCGATTATCCCGCGATTGGCTGAACCGATTTTGATGCGGTTTTCAGAAAAGTATTTGTTACATTTAGGAGAAGGTTTTAGTATATTAATTAATCGACTTTAAAATAAAAGGGCGTTGAAATCGGTTTTTAAAATGTATTTTATAAAAGAATTATTATTGAAAAAACAATACACTTTAGACATTTGGAAAAACGTTCATAGTATGTTTCTTTTAAATGTTATCGTATGTTTTAATAACACTTCTCTGTTTCCACAGATACACATATGAAATAAAACTAGTGATGGAGGCGAGCGGTGGTATCCTGAAGCGTCATACAGAAATATCCATAGTCTTCGATCATTGCTTCAGTAATTTCACAAGAATGCTACGCGCTGACGACAAGATCAGATTCAAAGGCGTACTGTCAAACGATAATACACCTTATAATATTGGCACTACGGACATAAATATAAAAGGATATGAAATCAATTGTCTAGAATGTAAAGAAGCCCGGGGCACAGTTCGCGCGAAGGCTCCGTCTGTATCAAAATTCTCAGAGCTGTTTAAAACTATAGCTAACGATTGTGTCGTGTCTACAAAGTATATTTTAAACTTTTTGTTAAATCCAGTCATTGTTTTTAAATAAATGATTTATCTATGTTTTCTATGCTTTTAAGTTTTTTTTTCTGTTCAGTATACTACTATGATCAGTTTATCGGCAGTAGAAACTAAAAATTAAATATACTCAAGCGTCCGTCACTTTAAAGTTGTTTATCCTACGCTCTTTTATATATACTGCTGGTGTTTTTTTTTAAATAAAATACTCGTACGGTGATCAGGAAAACTGACGAAGAGGTTTTAATTAAATTAGACTGTAGGATAAACGAGATGACTTTATGATTGAGTAACTGGTATATGGAGCCATTAGCGTTGTTTTTTTCATTTTATCGAACCCTACATAACTGAAAAAGGGTTTTCAACAAAATGCTCTCATTCTATAGGTAACTGAATTGCCTTTTATACGACATACGTTATCAATTAATAAAATACTTCTATCACAAAATAATTAAGAAATGAAAAAGAAATACCGCTAGTGGTTCCGTTTTTTGCTTCCAAGTGTATAATACGGTAAAACAAGGTGAATAGAATTCGAGAGGTGAATAGATATAGAAGAGGGGTGAATAAATATTAGAACATTTTCTCAGTATTTTTTCATCCGTCTTCTGTATCAGTCTGTATCTATTCCTGTATCTATACCCCATTCCTGTATCTATTCACCCGTCGAGTTCTATTCACCCATTACCCCACCATTGTTTTACGGTACATAAAATTACGGCGGAAAATTATTATTATTCTTCTGTGTTAAAGTTTTTAGACGATCACGTTTGTTGCGTTATATGTCTATATAATAGTGTTCTGATGCTAATCGTTGAGTGCCATTGCATAAAAATCGAGGAGAAAAATAAGTTAATAGACTTCGAAATGACAATTTTTACTGCACCTATTAAATCATTGTTGAATTGAATCAAATTGTTCATTCTTTTTCATATTTTACTTTTAAAAGCAGGGTAGGTAAATGAATTCAATACCTAATCAAAATCAACTATTACTGAAATGATGATTACAATATTTTATTCTTGTTTGTTCATAGTTTGAACTACGTATTTCGAGTCAATCCGATTGTTTTCGAGCTCGACCGAACGAATACGGAGTTGAAACTATTAACGGTATATGTTTATCTCACGAATGTTATAGGAAGGTGTTAGTTTTTAATTTTTTAGATATGTATATGCATTTAAAAATATTTTATGAACTCGTTTTATTGATAGGAAATGAAATGTACCTATTGTTATATTAATTAAAGTATTATCGAGATTTTAATGTAAAGAAATTACTATATTTGTGTATAGACGTGGTAGATGATGTGATGTGTGACAATAGAGCATATATTTGGAATGTCAGTGTTTTAATAAAAAAAAATCTAATAACAACATTGTTGTTCATTCGACCCGTTCTAAAATTGTGATATTGTGTTATCTATTTTTAATTAAAAAGTTTCTGGTGGTTTTATAATATTTTTAACTTTATTGTTTTGAGATAAAGTCGAAAATTCAATAAAAATTGTTGGTTGATTTGAGTAGATTGGCAATTGACATAATATGCTAGCGATTATACATGCATGCAACGATGCGAAGGCGAGCCACCTCATGGTAAGCGATGACTGGTTAAATAATTTCTGCGACACCAATCCTATCCAAATGCATTGTTGACCATATTTTAAGAAACTGTTTATGTCCGTCATTATAATATGTCAATACACGCAATCAAATGCAGGATTCATCAATTTCATCATCGTCATCAGCCTATGCCACTGCTGAGCAAAGGCCTCATCTTACTTCTCTCACAGGGAGTTTTGAATAATTACACGGTTGCTCAAGCCAGGTAGCCAAACTTTATGATTTGAAATTTTATGTCCAGGTCTTACAATATTTTCCTTTACCGTATGTTAGTGGTTAATAATTTATAATTTTGAAAACGAAATTAAACAAAAAATTCAAAATCAGTTACTAGAATGCAGCAACATACCACTTCGCACTATATAGTATTCTATTGATCCGGAAAAATAGAATTCAAAATTAGAATATTGGCGCTCAACGTGGGACAGAAAAACTGAGTCTTTGGGAAAGTAGTGAGCAGCTGTTTCCACATAGTTCAAGCAGAAATCAACAGATGGCGTGCTTACATTATAATTCTAGTACATACTTTTAACGTACCTACCTGTTAGAAGTGTTAGTCTGTGTTAGTAGCATCTTTTTGGCGAATTAGGCAAATAGGCACTAAACTATCAAACAACAACATATCATGGGTATATGGTAACTGGCTGCTTTGCATCGTGAGGCAGAATTCTTTGTGTGATTCGTAAATAGTTGCTCCGGGTCTGGGAAGGTAAGTAGGTATATATGTAGGTACATGTATATTTCATTAGTGTATAATATATTATTTTTACAGAGGCCTTTCTAACCTTATTATTATAATCACAAGTTAGCATGTAGATCACAGCTCAAAATAAAAAATAAATAGGTACTTAACTCTTTGAGTACCGTCATTATAGACACAATTAAAGAACAATTTTTTTTTAAGGGGGGAAAATCATCGAATGATTACTCCCGTCTGGGTGAGGCGGGAGGGAGTGTCAGACTTACTGACTAAAAATCACCCCGTTCTTTCTCCTGCACGTCGAGCCGGAGCTCCGGTTACCCGTTAGGTTCTCCGCGACAATTAAAGAACAATAGGTTGCGGTTACAGGTGTCCTCGCGGTGTTTGACAGTTTAAATAAAAATAATCGTAAATATATAGGTAGGTAAGTACCTGTACTTGTCTTTCCTATTCTATTCGACTGTGTTTATGCCATTTGTATCGGCAAATGTAACAAAATGGCTATTAAAGAAGACAAGATATGAATAATACAAACACAAGAACCGACAAGTCTTTTGAAAATTCACGGAAAATATTTTTCAATTTTGTTCAGCGAATAGACGCAGTGAAAGTATGTGGATACCGTCAGGATAAAAATTTAATATTAACTCTGTGGTTTTTCATTTTGTAATAAATATTTAAGACTTGAATATTTTATGTATTAGATGCTTTGAATTTTATGTTTTAGGTACATAATTATTATCTACCTACTTACTAGCGAGTTTGTTTTTGAAATCTTATCTCAAAATCAAAATTATTGTTAGGTGAAAAGTTCCATTGTATGGGTAATAAGAGGCCATTGACCTTAGACATCAGGACAATCCCGTGAAATCAGTTATATTATACTAGCTCCTACCGCGTGGTTTCACCTTTCACCCCGCTTTGCTCGGCTCCTGTTGATCAGTATTTTTTCCTGTACCGTGGGCGCGTTTACAATATACATACAAATTCACATAGGTACATATCACACCCAGACAGACTCGGAACAACACATTGTGGATCACACAAAGTTGTTCAGTGCGGTAATCGAAACCGCGGCACGTTGTGCAGCAGCTAGATCCCCAGCCAATGCGTCAGCCGCACAATCTTTTATAGAGGTATATTAGTAAGTAATATTAAGTTGTTTAACATTAGGTAATAGACACACTTTGAAATAAAAATTAAAGTACGTTTAAAAAACCGACTTCAACAGTCAACCCGGTCGGTTAATTAATATACTCAAAACCTCCTAAGTGAAAGAAAGAAAGGAAAATAATTTATTCGTCACTAGGCATGGCGCATGGACCACTAAATATACACACATAAAATGACATTGAAAAACAAAAATATAAAAGTGTTTTCCACTTTTCTGAAAGCCGCATCAAAATCGCTTCAGCCAAAACATAATATAACATAACATCACGCCTTTTATCCCAGTGGGGGTAGGCAGAGCTGTACATTATGCCACTGAACAATGTAACACCCACTTTCACTATTTATGTTATGAGTCTCATGTAATAGGGGGTGAGCCTATATTGCCATATACCGGGCACAATTCCAGACTCCGTGCTACTACTGAGATTTTTTTAAAATCCCAGTAATACTTTGCCCGACCCAGGAATCGAACCCGACACCCCATGCCCGACAGTCACGCTTGCGACCACTCGGCCAACGAGGCAGTCGCTTCAGCCAATCGCGAGATATTTCCGCACAAACATACCTACATACATCGGTACAATACACAAATAAGTACATACAGGTCAAACTTGGAACCTTATTTGAAGTCGGTGAAAAAAGATTTCCGAAAATACAATAAAATTATAAGTCCAGAAAGATTTGTAAAGCCGTGTACCTCTGTCCTCGAGTATGCTAACCGTATAAAATATACCATGCGAAGCTCCCTAAGGAAGGAAGAAATATTTGCTGTTTAAGTGAACGACTTTATTGCGGTTAAAATATGTTCGAACATTAGTTTAAATAGAGTGACTTTTTATTCCCTTTGCTCGGATAGTGGCGCCCGAATGGGACCGAGGGACCATTTTGCAACATTTATGCTCCTGTTAATTCTGAGTTATTTTGTGAATATAATCTTAGATTATGTTCGGAAACGATTTCTGTTATAGACATCGTTAGACTAGCTTTTGCTCCTGCTTCCCTGCTTCCAAATGACTACACTAATACAATGTAACTTCTCTTGTGTCTAAACAGTCCTATGAGACGATTCACCTGTTCATTAAAGCTTCTATACAAAAAGTTAATCTTACTAATATTATTTAATATTATATTAAATGGGTTTGTGTGTATGTATGTTACTCAGTCACATCGAAACAGCTTAAGGAATTGGGTACTTTCCTTAATCACTACATAGTATAAAACAAAGTCGCTATCCGCCGTCTGTCTGTCCCTATGTATGCTTAGATCTCTAAAACTTCGCAACGGATTTTGATGCGATTTTTTTTAATGGATAGAGTGATTCTTAAGAAAGGTTTATATGTATAATACATGCATATTACACCCATGCGAAGCTGGGGCGGGTCGCTAGTCAAAAATAAATTATTTGTGTATGACTGTTCAATACAATAAAACATTAAAGAATAATCACACTTTCATTAATTGATTTTGGTATTCTGTTTGACGCTTAAAAACGTGACGCCACAATATACACTTTCATACAAAATTCATAGAAAACTCTCGTTTTTAACAGTTCGAAAAAAGTATTGAATTTGATTAGTTGGCAAATACCCAATTGGGTTGAGATTTGGAATAGTATTAGATTGTTATCTGAAATTAATAACAACTTTTTACCACGGGAACGTGGGCGCGCTGGCAGAAGCTAGTAGGTACAATAATTATAAGAGCATGGGGATCACAACAGTAGACGGGTGAGCCACAGGGTGCGGTGTGATAGATTATACTACGGATTAGTCAGTCTCCAAAGAGGTCTAAATTCTAACAATTTGAGAATATATGAATTGGATACTCTACAAAGAAAAAAGTCATGCATTCAAAATGGTTTTAGTAATATTATGTAATGTTTCGGTATACCTGCCTAATTCTTGACAAAACGAATGAACTCTTCAAAGAGTGCGTGGATTTACTTCATTTTGTTTGAATGTTAATAACAGGTCGGGTCAACATATAGGCTACATTTTATCACGCTAGGGGGGATAATATGAAAGGTTGCCTGGTAGAGATCGCTTTTAGTGATAAGGCCGCCTTTGTGCCCTACTATTCTTGATTGTAACTCTACATATATGTTTATATTACTTTAAGGTGTACAATAAAGATTATTATTATTATTATTATTAATATGTACCCTATAAGGGGGCCACGCTGTGAATTATGTGCACTATTCCTCGCGGACGAAGTCGCGGGCACATAACGGGTAACCGGGGCTCTGACTCGACGTGCAGGAGAAGGAACGGGGTGGTTTGCAGTCAGTAAGAGTCTGACATTCCCTCCCGCCTCACCCAGGCGGGAACAGTCAATCGATGATTTTCCACCATTAAAAAAAAATCTATACATTTAATAAAATGGTAGGAAAGAGAAAACTGTACATTAAGTTTTTTTTTTAAAGAATTAAATGGATGTTTGGGACCATTCATTTCATTCGTGATCTAAAATTGATACTGAAACCAAAAACATTATTTTTAGAATTTTTGTGTGTTTGTCTGTCAGTATGACCGGGTTAAACTCAAAAAGTACTGCGTGGATTTACTTCATTTTGTTTGAATGTTACTAACAGGTCGGGTCAACATATAGGCTACATATTATCACGCTAGGGGGGATAACATCCTCGCAACCCAGCCATCGCGAAGGACACACCGGGCGTCGGGGATCGCGGGACGATCTCCGGCCACCGTAAGCGCGGGCCTGCGGACGGCGAGCATGGGTGGCTCCCCGTCCGACCAGAAACAGACCCGAGCGTACGGCGCGTCGCGTTCCGCGCGCGCCTCAAAGAGCCATCAGACCACCACAGATGGGGCCCAATAGGGCCGATGCCGATTCGGAGTCGCGGAGAACCTAACGG